TGAGATGAATAAAGTTCCCATGGTTGATGGTGGTGTAAACTGAACTGAAGTGAGTGTTTTCAATAAATACCTCAGCTAATGGATAAGCTTTAGCATCGGGTAGGTTTATCTTACAACAGGTGCTATACAGCATCAAACGAGGGACTTCATCATCCATTAACAACCGGTGGTGGAGTGGTGATCTTGGTGGGCTACCACCAAACGCTTAATCAAATCTATACCATTTTCTATTTCTGATAGATTTCTCTCCGAACTCGCGATATCATTGTGATAGTAATGTACGATGAATAATCTCTCACAACAAACTACCGCATCACGAAAATGGAAACCACATTGTTCGGCTTCTGTCGATAAGTTTCCTGAGTTGTAATGAGACACATTTATGATATTACTGTTTTTCAGTTGTGCCAATCATGATTGACGGCAACCTTCGACCCTAGAGACGTAGAGAAAGTCATCGTTCCTTACCTACCGCTTATTCTATCTATAACCCCTCAATTCATCTGCACCACCGACTCGCTCGCGAGTGGATTGTTTCTGTGAGATTTAGCTGAACAAACATCACAGAAGTTGCGCTGTATGACCTGGAGTTACCACCCACCCACCCCCCATATTTTACAGAATAAGGTATTAACTGAATTTAGTGTACCTCATTTATCTATCTTCGTCTTGATTCTGCTCCCAACCTCCGACTTCTTACACCTACGACGTCATCATCATCATCATTGTTTGATCAAATGAGGGGCAACTAAAACTGTCGCGTGAAAGTGCAATCTTACTGATGGTACAAAATGCATGTTAACTGCAACTCCGGCAACTTAGGTCGATTTTGACTGTGACTACTGGGTTTGACAAAATCACCCTCTGGTCGGAACGATTCGATTATGTCGTTGAATATTTGCGATCCATATTCCTTTTTCGCCATCTCGGTGATTGTCCTTCCTCAGTTCAATTTACTTGGTGGCCACTCGCCTTAAATGACTCGGCAACTTTCGTCTCATCCTGTAAAGAAGGTATGTCTGAGGCTCACACGCTTGTTTGTCTCATGACTATTATGTGCTCAGTAATTCCACATATGTTCGCAAATTTTTATTTCAGATTGTGGTACTTAACTTTCTTAATTGTTAAATATAGAGCAAAAATTGTCATTGCATATAGCAGGAACAGGCTGGTAAAATGCTGCAAAACACTCGCTCATATGTCCACGTCCTTCTAACCTAGTACGACTAATTGTTCACTGTTCAATTTCTTTTCTGTCCGACACCGTTCTTGGTGCGCACAATCTCAGGTGCATCACTTTCCTGTATCTACTTTACGGTGTTCTCGGTGATTGGCCAATGCTTTCGACGGTATCTGGGCCTGGCCAACGGCATCAGCGTGGCCGGTGTGAGTGTTGGCCAGATGGCTTTCCCCTCCCTCATCACCTATCTGAATCACACGTATGGGACACGTGGTGGCACGGTTGTAATGAGTGCGGTGTGCTTGCATTTACTCATCACGGCCGCACTACTACCGAGATATATTATCGACCCAGAAGCCCCACCACAACCGCCTGTAGAGAAAACAAAACGCGACCACGAAGAGCGTTGTCGTGGTCGACGTCGATTCAAATTGCGACGGAAACAACACGGGAAGTCTCGGCGCAGAGGTCAGGACCGGGAGTCGGCTGAATTAACGGCCAATTCCACAATGGTGTCATTGGATGTGGTTGACGTCCTCGCAGTAAATGGTTCGGCAGACAAGGCAGCGGCGCTACTGGAGCTGGAAGAAAAAGCGTGAGTAGTTGTATCGTTCATGAAAATCTGTTAAATATGTTATGATATGATTTTAATAATACTGATTCCACTCTATGCTCGTACCAGATTTACTTGGATTGCTATTCCCTATCCATCGTCACTGAGACTTGCTCAGCTGTTGAAACTCCTCACCCAGTCATGTATTAACAAATATCAGGCAACATGAGTGTGCTTTTCCTGACTGTAATGTGAAGTCTGAACCTACTGTATGATTGTAGTTAATAGTCGTTTCAACGATTACTTGATCTCTCCATCCACAACGGTTGTGCCCAAATTAAGAAAAATTCTTTGTATCGCCAGTATGTCTCTTATCAGATGCGGATAAATACCGACGCATGCCCCTTCAGTGCCGAACTCACGTGGGGTA